CAGTGCCCCACCACACTAGACAGTAACTTTCTTTCGACGAAGTGATGTTTTACCAAACATAACCTAAAAATGGCATAACATAAGCAATCCTTCACTACAACAATGAGGTCTCTAGCTAGTATAACAACTGACTTATTACAAAACAAAAACCGTCAGGTTTTTTTGGCGCACCCTTTAGTTAAGTAAACATCCTATAAACATATGTTTTAAAATAAAAAGAAGTGTTTTAATCGATACGTACCTTCATATATACAAATTATTTTGCTTTGTATATAATTCCTCTGCTAATATGTTTGTTACTTCATTATTTTGTCAGCCATCCCAGGGCAAATTCCTATGCTTTGATCCAATTTCCATAATTTTTTAACTTATCATACGCTTAATAAATTAACATAAAAGTACACAATGCTGCTAATTGCACATCAGTAAGATAATTTATTTTAATATTCTAAGATATAACGAAAAGTCTCAATTATAGATATCTTAGTTATATAACGTAAACCCTGTTTTTAATAGTATACAGTACATTGCAGAATTAACTGGCAAATAAGTAATCCAACTGTCAATATTCATATTCAGTGTTCAGTATCAGTAGTTCTGGCTTGAACGATAATCTGTATTGAAGTATACAAAAAACTGTTGCGTATGGCTTCCAATGCTATTTAATGGAGAAAACTTTACGTTATGTCGAAATAGTTAATTGTTATTACAGTCCCCGTCGCCATCACGGAATAGAGAGACCTTAACTCCAGCCCTCTCCCATCGTATGACTTCCCAGGCGCCTATAATTTTGGTAATAAACACAACACAACACAATAAACAATAAGCTCATAATGTTTAATATGGTTTAAAAGCAAGTGAAAAAAGAAGAAGTATTGTTATTTTCATTATGGCCCTCAATCGTTAATTTGTAGTGAGTTTATCTTACAAGTTTGTTAACAATAATCGTTATTAATTAAAATACAAAATCGTCTTGCGTGGAAGCGTATAATTGATTTTTATTGCAGATCTTTATAGGAAACCAACTTCTAAATTAATGTATGTCTTAACAATAACTAATGTTTTTACATCCACCAGTACTTTGTAAACAAGATCAAAAATCTTCATGTCAACTGCAAAAGTGATGCATTTTATAATGCACGGACAACGGCCGCTTTTGCCAACGAAGGTGGCTGGTTGTCGTGTACGCTCAAATGTTCGGCGTCGTCAACCCACCAACTCCTCGCACATAGGCGACAACGTGCCACCACGTCAATCCACCACCACTCTTTTACGAGGTGGTGGGTTGTCGTTTACTCTCAATGTTCGGTGCCGTCAACCCGCCACCTCTCACGTATCGTCAACCAGCCATCATCACGTCAACCCACCACCACACCAAAGAGGTGGCTGGTTGACGTGTATGAACACGTTTATGTGTCACCACGACTACCCGCCATCCCACATTTATCTGAGGTGGCGGGTTGTCGTGCACACTCAAGTCAACGTGTCACCCCAACCACGAGCCACCACGTCAACCCGCCACCTCAAACTTCTTCTTCTTTTTACTGGTGGGTTGACATGGTGGTGCCTTGACGCGTTCCCCCATGTCGACATAGTATTGCGAGCACAGCCACCTTTAACTCTAGGACGCGGCCTTCGAAGTGGCAACATCGCAAGTAGGGTTGTAATAAAATGTTGTAGTTCTCCTCTTTGACTATTACAAGGAGGCAGTTGATCCAGCTGTAAAGGAAAGATTTTACCGAGATTACCTTAGAGCTAAGAAGCTATATAGGTCTAGGATTAATGAAGCAAAGAAACTAGGTAATGAAAATTTCATTAGGGGAGCACACAACCCATGTAAGGCTGCGTGGGAAATTATAAATAGCCATCGTAGAAATCCAAATAAAAGCTTGATCAATGCTGCAAGCCCAGATGAATTCAACAGTTTCTTCATTAACTCGGTAGATGCTATCTTAGGCCAAATTCTCCAGGCTGTTGGCCGACCTGAGGATGCAATTTTCCTTCCTCCAGGTTTCAATGCAAAGTTAGCATCATGGAAAACTGTCAACCCTGATGATGTAAGGAATATTGTGAGGAAAGTAAAAAGGTCTACTAGCCAGGATTTTTATGGCATGTCCTCAGTGGTTTTGAAGGAAATTGTCGACCTCATTGCTGGTCCCCCACCCATGTTATTAATGGCTCCCTGGCAGCCGGTGTCTTCCCTGAATGTTTGAAGCTTAGTAGAGCAGTGCCTATTTTCAAAAAAGGCAACCCTGAGGAACTGAAATATTATAGGCCTATATCCCTGGATCCTGTGATAGGCAAGATCATCGAACACATTATCCAGAAGCAGCTGGCGGACTTTTTTTTAGGATAATGGCCTAATGTTGAGTAGGCAGTTTGGTTTCAGGAGGGGCCGATCAACTTCAGACGCAGTTATGGTTCTAGCTGAGGAAATCAAAAACGCCTTTGAAGCAAGGGACAGTGTTTCAATCACGCTTTGCGACCTCAGCAAAGCGTTTGACTGCGTGTCGCACAGCTTACTGCTGGAAAAACTGAGTCGCTATGGTGTTGAAGGAGTTGCACTAAAGACCATCAAATCTTATCTTGATAACAGATACCAGGTTGTCACAGTTGGTGGTGCCACATCTGGTCCACGCCAGGTTTGCCATGGAGTCCCTCAGGGCTCGGTCCTGGGCCCTCTTCTGTTTCTGATTGTTGTGAATGACCTCCATCTCCAGGGCAGAGCACTCCTGTATGCTGATGACACCTCAATAATAACTAGAGGGAAAGTTATAAACCAAGTTTTGATAGAGGCAGAAGCTGCACTGGATGCTGCTAAAATCTGGTTTGCCAGAAATCGGCTACGGTTGAATGGAGACAAGACCCAGAGGATGTTATGCACTTTAAGCAAAACAATGAATATTGATCAGCAAAGCAGCGTGAAATTGCTGGGCTTCAGCCTAGACCCTAAGTTTACCTGGGAACAACATGTCAGTCATGTATACGTGTTAAACTCTCCCGTGTGGTTTTTCTTCTGTGGAAACTTAGGGGGGTCGTCACTGATAAATATTTGATAAATGTATATCATGCCCTATTTCAAAGCCATATCAGATATACCCTGATCTGGGGACATGCTCCTGGCTGTATAAAAGTGCTTCGTCTGCAGAAGAAGGCAGTCAGAGTGCTGTCAGCCGCTGGTTATAGAGACCACTGTAAGCCCCTATTCGCCAACCTTAAGGTTAAGACCATCTTCAGCCAATATGTTTATTACGGCTTGATTAATCTCAGGAATAACATAGGTGAATATCAACAGAGGGGTGATCTCCATAATCATGACACCAGGCATGCACAGAAACTTGACATTCCTCGATGCAGGTTATCAAGATCCTTGGCAGCCCATCCCATCCCAGCCATGCGATTCTACAACATGTTACCGCCTCGGGCCCACACTGAAGACATGAAAGCTTTCTCCATGCAGATTTTTAACAAACTCACAAATGAGCCGCTGTACTCTTTTGAGGAAGTGTCTGGCGAGTACTTCTGGAACATATAATATGCACCGCCATCACTAGTTTTTCTATTTGTAAATATTGGTTAAATAAGAATGTTATTTTTTTATTAGTTTTATTACTGTAATTTTATTTGACGCAGTCTATCCAACAAGTGTTGGGCAACGACATATAGGAGTTGGTAATGCTGGTAATGGTAATGTTGTTTACTTTGGAGATGGCTAATGGCAAATTTTGTATTTTTTAAGAATACAATATATATATATATTTATATAATTGTTATATATTTTATTTATGTTATAAAATAAAATATAAATGAATTATAGGTACGCAAATTAATGAGCTTGTGTCACCTGTCTGCTATGTTATCTTATGGGACGTCTAGCGCTAGACAACACCATTTGCAAGGTTGTCAATTCCGCCAGGCCGCGGCCTGGGGCCCGTTTCATAATAAACTACAAGTTACAAATTACAACTTGTAACTTGTAATTTCCATAAGATTTGCATTGGGCAATCAGCTGATTTACTAATAATAATTTGTAGTTTATTATGAAATAGGCCCCTGGAGTTAAAGGTGGCCGTCCCGCATGCCCATCATCACGTCCAAAGCCATCACCTTGGGTTCTTGATTATAGTTTAGTTCACATAGTCACGGACAGAGAACTATAAATGCAGTGGTCCTCCATCCTGCTGGAATATTATTCTGGCTATGGGTAGCTGAGTGGTTCCAGTGCTCGTCGAACAATCAACAGGATACAAGTCAATTGTCAATGCATTTTTGTAATGTTCAATGACAAATAAATGATTCTGATTCTGAAAAGGTCACCGGTTCAATTCTGAGAAAAGTGAGTAGCTTTGCAACCAGCTGATCTTAGTCAGTAAAAGAATTTCTAAGATCATCTCACAACATTCTACCATAGACTAACCAACACAAGGGGAGAGTATTTTTTATCTATGATTCTACACTCTTCCTTAATTCATATTTGGGTTTAAATACGCACCTAGGTGGCGTCCCCATTTCAAAATAACTGATTGAGCTTCCTTAATGCTGTTTCCTGATTGATTTAGTTTGTTTCTCTTGCATGGTGTACTGCGTTGCAGATTGTGTCTGCTTTAAGATTTTTATGTTTTAGCTTGTTTGCTTTTTATAATATTATTCTGTAGTACTGTAGTTTTATTTGCGCTAGTTTATTTCAATGCTTATGATATGACTTAGCCTATTGTGCATTTTCTTTATTTAATGGCCAAATGAATTATGATTGAATACAACTTTTTGAATTGTGGTATTTAAAAAAAAAAATTTTAGATGATGAGTGGAAAAATTAAAATTTTATTTTCATGTATGTTACGATTGGCATAACCTAACTAATATAAACCGCCAGAGTGGCAATCTTGTAATCTCATTGTCATAATAACATATGTTAGCTATTTACTGTTTGCTCATTGGTCGTTCATCTCCTTGTTGATCCTTCTCCTCCTTCGATCACGGTCGTCGTCTGCTTTTATTTAATCAATAACAGAATAACACGTTGAAAACAGATTCAGATTGTGTGTTAGGACCATTTTCAACAAATAACTTATTATAGAATTATAAGTAGTTAAATATTTTAATTGTTTATTTAAATTTCATATGTTTTGCAACAAAGTTCCAACATAATATTGTGTAAGTCCCGCTAATGTTAAGTAAAATGTGATAAGTTATTGATATTTATTTGAGAGATCTGATTTAGGCTACTCAATCATAATAAATTACTTAATTATTTATCATTTCGATCATCAATGATCACTTTTCGTTAACAAAGACTGTTTATCCTATGCTACTTGGAATTATTAGTGGCATCCTTTAGGCTTAGGTACCATTACCACAATTTTTCATACCAGCGTTGTTAAAACCAGAAAGTCTACCTCCAACCAGCAAATTAAAGTATTGTGTTCTGTTTTGTGGTAATGATTTCAAAAGAAGATAACTCGTCATTGTTATGTCATATACTGAATTGGAACATGGTTATCAAGGATTGCGAAGAGCAAGGCCATCATTTTATGTAGGGGAAGATGCAACAAGTATAAGATTGGTGAAAAATAGGGTGAGTATAATTTTACTTGACATGAACCGATACCTTTAACATTTGCAATTAGTAAGCTATTTACATGTTTCCGACCTGAATTGCTAACTATGCCCAAATAATTTGTAGGAAAGAGTAAGTTTTACGTTGATTGTACATTTTTGTGTTAAGTAGGCCTAGGCTCCTACGGTACTTGTTAAACTTAAAGCTTGACACATTTTTTTGTGGACTAGCACAACTCATTTCACATGTTTAACATAACTTAGCCTGTTTTGTGTTAAATCAATTATAGGCTCATGTTAGTCATGTTGTAACATGCAATCTGGTTGCTGGAGAAGAGAGAAGATTGTTTTAGCCTATAAGAATTAATTCTAACAACTCTGCCCCCCTGTATGTTACATTCTGGATGAAATATGTGAACAATCATTGTTTTGTATCACTAAAAAATGTAATACCGTACCAACTAAACACATCTCACTCGGCATATTTTAACAGCTTTCAAGTTATTAATTGTTTTTGAATATTTAACTTAAATCTACAGAAAAGAAAGCTGATAAACCTAAGTTAAGTCTATTGCTTGAAAGTAGTTGCACATTTTCTAGTGACTTGTTACTGTACCTACAGGTCTAACTTAGAGGTGTTCAATAGAAATAACGGATAACTTCATTCTAGACTGGTGTATGAGCTAACTTAGCTTCTGTATTTTATTTCCAACCCGTTGTAAACCCCCTATCATTGTTAATATAAATTCTAAATCAGCTGTGCTAAATTCCGGTCTTATTCTAAAGGACTACAGTGCACGTTGATAGTTAAACACTGTTTTTCAATCTTCTATATTATAGCCTAATTTATTAAAAGACATTAAGTTATTTGATTATAACACTCGTAGGTTATACTGTACATTTGTCCATAACAATTATCTAGGTAGGTACTCAAAATTAAAAATAAACAAAAGATAAATTTTACTGTTGAGGATTAACTTTCCATCTTAAACAAAGTGTGTTGATCCAAGCCCATTGTGTGACCTTAATTTAAATCATCACAGAATCAGCTTGGTGTGGCATTTTAACTCAATAACTTATAGACCTAGTTTTTAGGCGTAATGATGTTAATAATTGTGATCAAACATTGGAAACTTGAAAGTGCATTGCCTAGTCTTCTATCCTTAAAAAATTCAAAATACCGGTACTTATTTTCACTTTTATATCTCTACACTATTAAATGTAGGCCCTAATGCAAACAGGTCCTATTTGTTATACATATATAAAACAGTATAAATGAATGGATGGAAGGCTCTTTTTGATTTCAGGAACTTTTATAGCCTAGCTCAAAAGCAACATACATGACAAACATAGTTTTAGATGTTTTAGTTTTCCTTATTATAGGCCTAACTTAAGTATCTTTACCCCTTTATACCAAGCATCCATCGTTGACCAGTAATGACTGGATGGATTTCGTCAAAAGAAAAAAAATAGTTTCAATACTTTAAACATTTCATAATTAATCAACAATTAATACCGTACTGCAACAATTAATACTTCAACAATTAATACTCAAGCTCTACATTTATTTATATATTTCCTCTCAACGGTTACACCATTTTACAGCAAATACATGATATGTTACATGTTGTATCTAATAGGCCACAAAATATTAAGTAACACTACTCTAACAATAAATATACAATAAATAAGCTTAACAAATAATATAACAACAAAAGCATAAAGAGATTTGTACGTAATAACATTATACATAATAACAATAATAATATCAACAATTTTGACTAGATACAAGTACCTAAGTGTAAGTGCTTGACGTTACAAACATAGATGATATTGACAAACAAAACAATTTGAAGAAATTAAAAAAATTAAATTGTAGGACACTTGATTATGTATGAAGCCTGACTATATTGAGAAACAAGAAACAAGTTAATGACACAGGGATACAAAATAACAGCAAAACAACAGCAACAAAAGGGAGATAAATACAATTTAAAGTTTAAGTAACTAGTGACTAGATGGAAAACAAGAATAGATATATAAGGAGCTGGATGATCTTCGACCTGAAGACGTGAGTTGAAACGCCAAAGAAGTCGACATCAGCTCCAACTTCGCTCCCTAGCTGGTGTAGGCGAGATATCCCACTGTTGTAAGCATAATATGTTGGGAAGAACTGCCGTTTGAATATGGATCTAGAGCGTGTTCCTCTTGGTGCAGTGAAGTTGATGCAACTAAGAAGTTCTGGGCAGTCCATGAGGCCATTAATTACTTTGTATAAGAAGAGAAGATCCAGAAACTTGTGTCTAATGCAAAGAGGTTGAAGGTTATACTGTATCTCCAGGTCACAAACTGGGGTTTGGGAGTATTGATAACCAAGTTTGAATCCCAACATCTTGATGAAGTGTTTTTTTACTTTCGCAAGCATTTCCAGGTGCCCCACTTGATAAGGTGTCCAAATTGTTGAGCCATATTCAAGTATCGGTCTGATCAGTGTTTTGTAAAGAACAATGAGAGAGTGAGGGTTGGTAAAGTCCTTTGTTGATCTATGAATGAATCCCAGTAATAAATTTACCCTGTAAATAATGTTGGAAATATGCTCCGCTGGATTTAAGTTTGGTGTAATTTTCATATTGATGGATGTTAGCCTCCGGATTACTGTATAATACTTAAAGTGGTTTAAATACCTGCATTTAAGTAATCCAATTCATTGCTTATGTTGCAACCGGTTTCAACTCCGTGGAGTCATCTTCAGGCGTCCAAGGATATAAGTTATCACTTCATTTGAAGGTCGTCATAGTTTAAAAAAAAACAAATATACACGTAACACGAACATTGAACACTGAACACTGACGTTTAACATTAAAAAAACATACAAAGTTGCTGAGAAGGTTAGCGACGCGTACCAGCCGGATGTAAAGTCTAGACTACCGTGGTTGTGCGTAGGTCTAATGGTCAATGACGTCGCCTTCTTATCTCTTGTCACCGATCATCGCATTCCCTTCTACCTTCTCTCTCATCCAGTATCATGATTGCTGTATTGTAAATAAAATTAGACTGAAATGAGAGTTTGTCGTTCAGCACGTTCTCTTTGTCGGATCTTACAGCTCTGTAACCTTCTCAGCAACTTTGTATGTTTTTTTAATGTTAAAATTAATTACTTGTGTTCAGTGTTCAATGTTCGTGTTACGTGTATATTCGTTTTTTAAAAACTATGACGACCTTCAAATGAAGTGCTAACTTATATCCTTGGACGCCTGAAGATAACTCCACGGAGTTGAAACCGGTTGCAACATAAGCAATGAATTGGATTACTTAAATGCAGGTATTTAAACCACTTTAAGTTTGGTGTAATGATGATCCCAAGGCACTTTACCTTATTCACCCTCGATAGTCTTGAGTCTGCAATATAGTAGTCTCAAAACCATGGGTTGTGGTCCTATGACAAAATGACATGACTTGACACTTTGAAATATTAAGAGACATTGCATTATTTTTACACCAGTTAACAATGTCATCAATGGAGTTTTGGAGGTTAACATAGTCATCCATAGATCCAATTCTTGAAAACACCTTGATGTCATCGGCAAACATGAGGAACTTTGTTGATAGTGAGGTGGCAGTATCATTAATAAATACATTGAAGAGTAGAGGGCCCAAACGTGAACCTTGGGGGATTTAATGCATTGTTAGTAGTAGGCCAATTTATTAATTCCCAAACAACATCATGTCAGTTACTTAACCTCTTAAGCTCTGAACTGTCATCTGCTATTGATCCCAGTTTGATTGATGTGTTTTGCTGTACTCAGTGCTTGAATAAAAATAAAACTTCTGTCATATTTGTTGTACTGTAATATTAAAACTATGACAGGGATGTCATATTTGACATGTGACGCCTTTACATACCATACTTCTTTAATAACCATTTGATTTGGTTATTAAAATCAAACCATTCATGTTCACAAAACATAGATACAATGCACTGATAGACAAATGTTAATAAAATAAAATAAAATACAATCCAGAATTTATACAAGGGAATATTTAGAAGGCTAGGTCCAGTAAAGACAATTTGAAGAAATAACAAACAAACAGTAGATATCTTACAGTGATGTACAAAAAGATGAAAACAACAGTAAACAGTTTTCACACAATGCCCAACTCTTAATTTTTCTGATAACAGAATCTTGAAGCCTATACAAATAATTTTCCCATTTAGAAAATGAAATTTTATACCCTCTGAAAAAACCGATTTAGCTTATGAACAATGTATTCAATACAAACCTTTTGCTGATGAGAGAAAAAACATTTTTTAAGGTTGTACGGAAAAATAGTATACCGGTACTGTTTTCTCTGGCTTTTCTCTTGCCCATAAAGACTGAGAAAATATCTCATCATTTTAATAGAATACTTCCTATATAAAATTTGTATTTTCTGATACTGCATTATGACCTGTTCTTAAGCTTATGCTATAGAATAGAACGCTTTTAGTAAATTAGCAAACCCAGAAAATTACCTATTATTTATTACACAATATATTCTATAGGTAGACCTACAATAGCCTCTCCAAATCCATCCAAACTACAGAACTATTTATTGATGTTGCTACTTTTTCCAGTAGGGAACATAACATTTACTACATAGGGTAACATTTATTATTAACATATTTGCGTTTGACGACAACAAATGAGCTGTCTTGGTTCTGTACCTAATATAAACAGTTAACACTTAAAGTGCCGTTGACATGTTTGAACATGAAAATTGCATTTATTTCAATGTTAAGCAATGGCGGGAATTCCCGTCATCAGCACCCAACGTGTTAATACCTAACATTGGAACTATGAACACATAGGTGTGGTGTCTGAAGTCATATTTTATATTTGCTTGCTTCTCACTGTTTCAGTTTTGATTTTCTAAACATTTGCACGTTAATGATGGGTGATTTCACACACATTCCTGATGTTTATGTATTCGATGTTGACAACTCTGCTGAACCTTATTGGCAAACGGTATTTTTGTGTGGTTGGGCTTTTAGCCAGTTGCTTGAAAAACTAACCTCTGCCCCTTTGTTTGTGTTTACACTCGTTTAAGCTTACTTGTTAAATAATTGATCAATGGCTAAGACTAGGGCAACAAAGTGTAAACAACTCCAGTTAGGTTGTGGGAACCACTTGTTTTCTTCTCCTCTACTAGCTTACGCCTTGCTATGCTTGATACATTACATATATGACATTTTAGGAGCCTATTTGGTCTGACAAATTCAAGGGTCGAAAGAGGTCTTCAATCTCTGTTATGAAATGTTATATATTAATCCTTAAAATTCAGCAGACAAAAAATATCTCCCTTTTTACATACTGTTAATAAATCTCCATAAATAAATAACTTCTGTTAAGTTACCTCGTTTTTTGCAAAAACTTGTTTTGATATTAATTTATTACATTTTACATGTTTTGAATTAGTTTGATCTGTATATGCTAATTTCCCGTTATTATTCAATTCAAATAAACATAGCCCAAATGTTTTGTGGTTCATTTTCATTGTCATCCACAGTGATGCCCAGCATAGTAAAATGTAGAGAAATCATCTGTTTGGTTAACCAATTCTAGTGAACATAATGCCTCTTTGACAAGTATAGGCAAAGTAGGATATATTCTCAAAGTCTGAAAAGCTTAACAAGATTAATAGTTGTTTTTTATTTCAATTTAATAGCTTGATGGCTAGCAATGCTGTATCAAAAATTGGTTATGTTTATTAATAAAAAAATAAAAAAAATAGTACTGCTTTATAGTGTTCATAAAAAAGCTCTGAATGGCCAACATATTTGTTTCAAATATACCATTAAATATTGTTTCACACTTATAAAACTTTTTTGTTATTTAAGTGTTTTTCATTGGTGACCTTTTAGTAATCCTATCTTTTCACTAATTCACTGTGCCTGGTGCTGAGAGTCTACTGTATTGTCTTATATGAACATTGATGATTATTGGATTGAAAATCATCCTTTTTATATAAGTTTAAAGTTATCTTTTCAGTGAAATTAAAAAAAATACTACTGTAATGCATTTTGGGTTAAAAAAACTATTTTCACTCCTATTGCCCTATTATATAGTCTACTGTATATTTTTAGGTGTCTGAGTGATAGTAATTTTTATGCCTATTATCTCTTGTCACTTATTTTCATTGAGATATAATCTGTGATTTGTAAATTTCTTATTAGTCATATATTATTAATATAGAGCTAAATAATTAAAGAACTTTGTATTTTATGATTAATTTTTCTTGATATTCAACTTGATTTGTTTGTTTTAACTAACCAAGACTAGTGTTCACAATAGTTGTTGACAGAACAGCTGGATAAGGCACGCCTTCTCTTAATTGACCCTCATGAATCAGACCTAGTTCGGTTACAATTATTAAAATCATGTAACATTCTGTATAAACCAATGTATTATTGCTAATACACCAGTAGAATCAAATCCATTTTATTGAATGTCTACCTGTTGATCAAACGAAATTACAACTTGACTTTTCAGTTACTTAGGGGGTGGGGGAGGATGTTAAAACGCACAATCTTTTCAGTGACTTGAACTGAGATGAGTGGGTTATGGTATACAATATTTTGTGCGGCATCGATTTTGAGCTAGTTTTCTGTTCCCAAAATATGTTTGCTCTCTGATTCTGAACTATGAATTTATTCATTGTCTGCAACAGAATGCGAAACAAAAGGTAGGTTTGGAAAACTAGATTTTTTTGTGACTTTTGGGATCTTTTTAAAATGAAAATCCTTTACTTACCAGTGACTTCTGTAACTGGTAGACACCCTGATCAATCTATTCTTAATTTTACAATTTTTTATCACAAAATTGTGTACTCAAGTAACGGTGGAAGTATACAAAGTAATTTGTCTATTATAGTCAAGAGTACTGAGTATTTTAGTCTTAAATCATACCGGTATATCGTTAAATTACAATGGTTTTGACAATCACCTTTTTACAATAACTTAATGTTCTTACACTTTATTCAAAAAAGTCTGTTTTCTTTACCTTTCATTTTCCTGAGTAAGTTTTCCTGTGTGGTTTGTTAGAGAAGAATGGGAGTGGAAGACTCTAGTAGATTTGTAGAAAAGGTCTTTTATATCAAAAAGTTTTGAGGTCCAAGGCGAATAAACCAATTTCTACTTTGATTCGGACAGGAGGCGGTTCAAGCCAAGCAGGGGTTGTTCCGGGATTGGTTAAAATAAATCTACTGTAGACAGTTATTCATAAAAAGAAAATCTAACTTCTAATTAGTTGCTTTTACAAACTATAATAGTGCTAATTGCATTTTAAGTCAGAACAAAACAAAATAATAAATAGTTTGATATTTTAAATCATGTCCGTTACTTAATCAATAGGAAATGTCTTTGATGTGGTACGGCCATTTTTGTGTGGGACATTTTTGAGGCATTTTTATTCAGTTTTTTAGATGTGTTTATTTTCCCAAACTACAGAATAAAACCATAACCAGAATATTTAACCAATCCAAGATTTTATTACACTTCAATTCAAATAACAATAAAAAATGACATTGTGTGTTTGGTGGGCATGGAATTTTACTACTTTTAATTAAAAAATAGTATTAAATACAACAGGATGATTTATTCATTATCCAACCTTTTCCATCCAAACCATTATATCAAGAGTTTATATTGTAATAAGGCATCAAACGAGTATGAATTGTTTTGTCTAATTGCATGTGTATTAGTGTGCTTCAAACTTGAATTTAAAAAAATCATTAATAATTGGCTAACATTGACATAATATCAAAATATATAGTATCTAGTCATGTCCACGTCTTTGACAATCCTATATAAGTTAAAACACTATAACTCATTATATTCAAGGAAATAGTAATTAATACAATTATAAACACATTGAACATTTTTGACAATGGTTTTTAGTGACCCAGCTAGCAATTTAAAAGCCGTTATTTAGAGAGGTTGCAAGCATGCTCTTTGCAGCTGGTATGTCTCACTCATGCCAAAACTTACTGTTGTGTCAGAGTCAGATGGATCTGTTCTCTCGTTCCGGTTTTCATCCAGATTTGCATTTTGAAGTTTCGGTATTGTTATTATGCTTTGCAGGATTTGTGGATTTGACAAGTTGATAATTTTATGGATGAGACACAATGTACTTTTGGTCTTTTAAAATGTAGTTATATAGTTTTGTGTTAGAAAATGGTTTGGTTGTTAAAATTACTATTTAGGCTTGAATCTTAAATAGTTTAGTTGTTTTGAGGTTAATTGAAACAGTTTGAATGATTCCTGACTTTAAATGTGTTTAGGTAAAACACCGTTACTTGACTTAAGTGAACAGTGAAACAGTTTTATTTTGGTTTCAGTAGGCTTAGCTATGTAACAACAACTTATAACAGTACTTATCATTTTTATAATTTGTTAAGCATTTTAACACAATAATGTTGGTTTATACAAAACACTCAAGTCATATTAAGGCCTGTATTTTTTCTTTCTATTTCCGACTGTTTTTTAATACATGAATATGCCTTTAGGATTGATTTAAGCTAAACGTAGCTAAACATATTACACACTTTGTCTCAAAATGATGACACCCAGTTTATCCTGCACAACACACTCATGCCAAATTAAATCAAAATTGAAACAAAATTACACAAGTTAAATTGTTTAGTGACACATAGATATTATATATTCATACAGGCTGCGGCAAAAAAACCAATCTATTTTCTGCAGCACACTCATCAGCGACAGGTCGTCTGAGGGTTGTGGGGGTGGGCTCGTTGGAAAGCCTACACACTGCCATTATCTGTAGGTAGTCATAGAACAGTGGTTGCCTGAGCTTTAATGTGTCTTTGAAGTGTATGTGTCTTAATGTGTGTTTGTTATTGAGTCGTTAAAAAATAATGATTCAGTCATTGCAACTCAGCTCCGTGCATTCTTACACTAAAGGTGACATAGAGAGGTTCCGTCGTGATTATGTGTATGGATAATCAACAAAATTAAAAAGATTACCGTAGTTCAAATCAAGCTCTTTGGATGAAAATTAAGATCAAACCTAAAAATTTGTGTAACCGAGCTTTCAGACATGTTGAAGGCAACCGCTAGTTTTCGGGCAGGTATGAGGACTTTTTTCCAAAGTAGCACAAACTCTATCGAATGTTGAGTTGTTTAGGCTGTTTTTCTGGCGTTTTCTTCTTCAGAGCTCTTCTTCAAACTCTTCTTCAGAGAGTTTCGTTATCTGGCATCCGATCTGACTTTGGACGGCCAGCCAATTCCGGTTAATGCTTGAGAGCCCCCCAGCTCACGCCCCCCCCCCCCGCACCACAGGCCCACCGCCACTGGCCAAAGTCTTAATAAGTATGGTTAAGACTTAGATTTGGGAACCCCTGTACTTTTTCATTTCAGACAAAATGCCTGGTCTGTCCGAATTGTTTTTTGTGACTGGATCCGTAGAAAATGATAACTTTCATGGAAATTCGGTTTTGATCGAATTTGGAGCCTGCAGGAAAAGCTTCCTCCTTTTGAATAAGTCCCCAAACCAGGCCAATGTGATTATGGAAAGGGGATGCACCGCGAGTTTGTTATTAAAAATCCGTATGATAGTACATTAATTGCTTTAGATTGTTCATCTATGGATAAATCTACATTACCTTTCACAGATTTCTCTATAAATTTCATTGTTTGCCTTGATAATCGAATCAAAACAAAAATGTTATGAGAGCTCTTTAGCAGCAAATATATCCTCATAGACACAAATTTTTTTATCCGTTACAATGTCTACAGATTTAATTGTAATTTGTTTTATAGGTAACGAACCTGTTTGAATGAATTCTATATGGCAAATGATAATTACCTAAGTCTTCAGGTGGTACTATTATCATTTGAAAATATGGATATTTTATTAATACCCCCGTAGGAAACCTGCAGACTAAGCGAATTCCAAATTGTCTGATTGGATTTTTACTAAAATATTTTATAAATAACATTAGATTAAAG